AAGATTTACAGCCTCGGAAACCCTGTACAGGGTGGCTATGAGTCGGAACCAACTCCATGATACATAACAACAATCTACTTCTTTAGAGTCCTGGTGTGGCGCTGTGGGTTAATGCGCCAGATTGCAAAGTCAATTTGAACCTCAAAGCTGGCAGTTCAAACTCACCAGCTACTCCTTGGAAATCCAATAGAGGGTTGGAACCCACTTGACAACACTTAACAACAAGCTACTCCTTCACGATAAAATGTTGATTTCCATATAACATACAACCTATTCGTAGTCACTGTCAACCATTCATAATTTCAAATGGCACTGGCCAATCTGGATAACAATAATGTTGTTGTTGTTGTTGTTGTCAGGTGCCATCGAGTCAGAACCGACTCATAGCGACCCCATGTACAGCAGAATGAGAAACAATGTCTGATCCTGGGCCAACCTCACTACCGCCGCCACATTTGAGTCCATCAATGATGCCACCTGGCCAAACCATCTTGTTAGGGGTCTTTCTCTTTTTCTCTGACCCTCCACCTTACCCAGCATGACATCCTTCTCCAGCAACTGTTCCCTCTGGACAATATGTCCAAAGTATGAGAGACGAAGCTTAGCCATCTTGGCCTCCAAGGAGCACTCTGGCTGCATTTCTTCAAAAATAGATCTATTGGTTCTTTTGGCAGTCCATGGCACTTTCAGTATTCTCTTCCAACACCACAACTCAAAGGCATCAATTCTTCTACAGTCTTCCTCATTCACTGTCCAGCTTTCGCATCCATATGAGTCTACTGAAAACACCATGGCCTGGGTCAGGCGCTCCTTAGTTCCCAAACTGACATCTCTGCTCTTCAATACTTCAAAAAGTTCCTGTGCAGCAGATTTGCCCAATGCAATACATCGTCTGATCTCTTGACTGCTGCTTCCGTGAGTGTTGATAGTTGATCCAAGAAGAATGAAGTCCTTGACAACTTCAATCTTTTCTCCATTGATAAGAATGTTGTTTATTGGTCCAGTGGTGAGGATTTTTGCTTTCTTGACATTAAGATGTAATCCATATCGAAGGCTGTGCTCTTTGAGCTTCATAAGTAAATGTTTCAAGTCCTCTTCACTTTCAGCAAGCAAGGTTGTATCATCTGCATATCGCAGGTTGTTAATGAGTCTTCCTCCAATCCTGACGCCAAGTTTTTCTTCATAGAACCCAGCTTCTCGTATTATTTGCTCAGCATACAGATTGAATAAGTATGGTGAAAGAATACAACCCTGTCTCACACCTTTCCCTATTTTAAAACATTCAGTGTTCCCATGTTCTGTTCGAACAACTGCTTCATGGTCTACGTACAGATTTCTCAGAAGTACAATTAAGTGTTCTGGAATACTCATACTTCTCAATGTTGTCCATAGCTTGTCATGATCCACACAATTAAAAGCCTTTGCGTAGTCAATAAAGCATAGGTAAACATCCTTCTGGTATTCTCTGCTTTCAGCCAAGATCCATCGGACATCAGCAATGCTATCTTCTCGTTCCACGGCCTCTTCTGAATCCAGCTTGAACCTCTGGAAGTTCTCTGTCAATGTATGGTTGTAGCCGTTTCTGTATTACCTTTAGCAAAACTTTACTCGCTTGAGATATCAAAGAGATTGACCGATGATTTCCGCATTCCTTGGGTCACCTCTCTTTGGAATGGATAACAATAATATGTAAGAATAATGTATAAGGATAAGCATTAACACATAAGGAAGAAGTGGACCTATATGTGTAAAACAGACTGATGCCAGATTGTGGGAGACTGTGGCTACCAAGTTGAGGCCTGGACAATAAACTAGGTAATGAGTTGGTCCCAGAGCTATCTGGGTGGGAAGAAATGGTGTTAGAGGGTAAAAGTAGAAACTCTGTTGATGAAAACAGGTTGAGACATGCTTTCTGGGTTCACAGCCCTCTCCCCAACCCCACCCCATTTTTTTAAATATATCAAATTTTAAAATAATTTTTGCTCCTTTTTTTCTTTTTTCACTTTAAAAGAATTTTTAATAATGTTGCTTGTTGCAGTCAGATCACCATACACTTCACAGGCAAGAAAAACAGGTCTGTAATTTCTAGCTTCATGGACAAAGGTATCAAAGAGAAAAGGCAAACATAATTTAAACTGACAAGAAGGTCAAATCAGGCATTTCATTTGAAACTCCAATAGAAAAGGAGATGAACATTAGATTCTTCAGCACACAATGTAACATTGTAGAAGTTCTAGAAAACCAAAAGTAAGATATTGGTATAAATATTTTTAAGCAGCAAAAAATGCTAAAAGCACATTGAAATGAGTCTATAAGATGAGCTATGAGCTAAAAGCTTAACTAACCAATCTAAGCAGTATTAAAGAAGATTCAGAACATGGGACAAAAATAAAATAAAATAACAATTATGTGGTTTCAGGCAAACAAAACCAGGCAGCAGTAAGTTCCTCACATGCTTTATTTACAACTGCTAGACTTGATACGACAAGCCCTCGGGGTTATGCTAGTATCACATGAATAGATTGGGGGAACATGGAAGGATGATTCCTAAATTGCAGAAACCGAAAATAAATGGAGAATTGGCTCATGGGATTTTAAACTTGCTGAAGTGCATAAACCAATTGCAACTACATAAACCACAGTCTACTTATCTTAAAAATGAGCTTTTAGTAAATCTGTATGACACAAAAAAATTTACTGGGGATATTAAATTTTAACATATGAATAGCTTCTCTATTGTCAAAGCTCAAAGTTATGACTCTAAATATGTGGATATCTACACTGTAATTTTAAAGTATGATGTTTGAGTCCTGGTGTGGCGCTGTGGGGGGTTAATGCACTGGACTATCAAGTTGGTGTGAACTGCAAGGTTGGCGGCAAGCTCACCAGCCACTCCTCGGAAACCCTATACAGGGTCACTATGGGTTAGAACCGATTCAACTGCACTTAACAACAATCCTTTCCTTGAAATACAACAATCAGTTTGAATTGCAAGGTCGGAGGTTCAAACTCACCAGCTGCTCCTCGAAAAATCTGCAGGGTCACTATGAGTCAGAATCGACTTGACAGCACTTAACAACAACAAAAGCATGAATTATACTATAATGTTGTTTATATAACTTTGCAGGAAGCTTACTGACGATATAACACATTCAATGATCTTCTAAATGATCTGCTTAGAACCAGCAAGCTTGACTAAAAGAATTGTAACTGCTTTCAGAAAAATGATTTCTATATATGCTAATAGGGAGTGAGTTATAAATTCTTATCATGGGGTCTTTTTTTTTTTAATCTACAGGGCATATGGTGTGTACCCTAATGCTGGCTGGCTTTGGAGGCCATGAGCCCATCCTATGCAGTTAAGTAGAGCTTGTAGTATGGATGCAGAAAGACAAAAGCGCAAGTAAGAAGTTCAGGAAATCCAAGACTGAGGCTGCTTTCCAGGGCAAAGGTTCAAGAGACCCACCATCAATGGGACAATGAAAATTCCATAGCACCCCTAGGATTAACCACATAGCAATGCTTGCACTTTCACTTCTCGATGCCTTCTTTTTGAAGTATACAGCTGTAATGATACATAATCTAAGATATGTGAAATTGAAGCTCTAATAAAGCTGGGACACTACTTATGAAGCCTACCATGGGGTAACAGCAATATACAGGAAGCAGCACCAAGAAAAGAATAGGTAAACAGAAAACAGAAATTCCTATATTCATTTTAGAGCACAAGAAAATCAGTGGACTATTTACAACTTTCTAAACCCTACACAGGGTGGATAGAACCCATTCAATGGCACTTAGCATCAACAGCAAAAAGTAACTGCAAAAGTTCTTTATTTCTCCTTGTGTCTCACTTATTAGTAGTACTGTGTAACATGAAGTTTGGTGTGGAAGTGCAGGATAATTACTGAACTGCCATCTACAAGGTCAGGGATTCAAACCCATGAGCCACTCCTCAGAAACCCTACACAGGGTCACTGTGAGTCACAATCAACTCGGCAGCACTTAACAACAACCGTGTAGCAGAAAAGAGCTTAGTACTTAGAATCTGATATTAACCACATACCACTGAGGTGACAGGAAAAAGTCTGTAGGAATCAAGAGTGATAATTAATCCATTTGAGAAATCACAATATCCTACACTGTTAACTACAATATCTTAAAAAGCTATGAAGAAAGAAGAAGAAGGAGGGAGAAGGAGGAGGAGGAAGTAGAAATGCTATTATATGAAAGTCTCCCTCCCTTTATCATTCAGTAAGCAGTGGAAGTCAGAGAGAATATCTTCATCATCATTTTAGCCCCCGGAATACCTTGGCACAGAGCCTTACACATGGTGGTGGTGTGTGTGCCGTGGAGTCAGTTCTGACTCACAGCCACCCTGTATAATAGTCAAGGAGCAGCTGGGGTACTTGAACAGATGACCTTTCAGTTAGCAGTTACACACAGTAAGAAGTGGTCAATAAGTACTGCACTGAATTGTCGGTATGAGCATCCCTGTCTCTTGAAACTTCTTTCTATGATTCCTTTTTTTTCTTTCAGCCCTTATTTCTTCCTTTTGCTTATATCCCTGTCTTTGGGGCTTAACTAATAATTTAGACACAATAAAATAATATTATGCTGTATTTATTGGAAGAGAATTTTAGGTTCACTTTTTTTAACTGGAAAAGTAAACGTTAGGAACACTATCTTTTTCCCTCTAAAATGCTTTACAAATTAAGCTATGGGTTAGAAGCCTTCAACTACAGCAAAATAAAAGTCCTATAACCTTGAATTAAACATTTGTTGTTATCTGCTGTATTAAAATATTTCAGAAGTTTATCTGTTGTATTTCTTTTTGGCTCTTAAATAAAGCCAAAAACAAAACTTTTCACTCTTTAAATAAGCCAAAAACAAAACTTTCCACCATTGCCTATAAAAAGTAGCACAGAACTGTCTTGATTTCCATAGAAGCATATTTTCACAATAAAAAACTAATATTCAGTGGAATAAATGTTACGTACTTTTCATAGTTCCATCTTCTTGGTCCTCCTCCTCACTGTTTATAACCATGGTGCCCAAGTCTGATTCTAACATTGTGCTATTATGTTCAATCATGGTCTGGGCTCCTTCGCTCATTGTGCTTGTGGCCCGCATGGTGCCCACACTTTCCGAACTAGTTTTCACCATGGTGTGGGAATCCAGTTCATCTTCATCCTGCAAGAAAATCAGGGCAATGAAAGGAGACCTAACTAATGACAGCTGGATTTCTTAATTCGTAACAATAGTAGTGGTCTGCTGCTGTTGTTGAGTGCCTTCCAGTCAGTTCTAACTCATATTGACCCTGTAGAGAGTTTCCAAGGAGCAGCAGTTAGCGGTTCAGTGCTCATTCTACAGCACCATGGTAGGATCCCAGTATGAGTAATATTAGTAGCAGCAATAGTAATTTTATCATTACACAAAGTACGCTATACTTACATGGTGGCACACCACCACCAAACTAGGAGGAGTATGTTGTTAAATGCCACTGAGTTGGTTCCAACTCAGAACAACCCTGTACGAGGCTTTCAAGGAACAATATTGTTGTTGTTGTTGTTAAGTGCCGTCGAGTCAGTTCTGATTCAATAGTGACCCTGTATAGGGTTTACCAGGAGCAGATGGTGAGCTTGAACTGCCGACCTTGTGGTTCAAATGACTTTGTAGACCAGTACATTAACCCACAGCGCCACACCAGGAATCAAACATCATACTTTAAATAATGATAAAATTATTATTATTGCTACTAATTTAAATGTAAAAACACACATTAAAACTAATAACATAAGAGCCAAAATTATCTAAAATAATTTCAACCTTTCAGTAACTAAAGCTCAAGCAACAGAAACTCTTCAATGAGATAGCAGGCTACTAGTTGCTTATAAAGGAGAGTTGGTGGTGTTATAGGATAGGCTCGTTAACCACAAGTTCAAACCCACCAACCACTCGGCAGGAGAAGGATAGGGCTTTCTGCTCTGCAAAAATGGAAACTATACAATGTCATTATGAGTTGGAACCGAAATGATGGTGCATAACAACAGTTGCTTATAAAGAGAGAGTTAAGACAGATAAATTAGCAATGTATATCACAAAATAATTAAACATATAAAAAAGAACACATTAACGATCAAATATGTTGGTACGTCCATTATAACAGGTATAAAAATATTTGCAACCGTGTATAACAGACATAAACTTTTAAATACAAATTCACAGAGAAAAATCAACTTGGCAATATATGAACTAAAACTTTTCAAAAACATTCACCAAAATATACTGGAATAGGATCATACAAATAAACTAACAAATTCTGTTTGAGAGACCAAATCTGCTTTTTGGATAAACTTGATTAAGCACTAAAATTCCTTGATATCTATTTCATTTTTAAAGAAACAAATAAAATCTAGTTCTGGTAGAGGTCAAAATACAAATATGGAAAACAATTTGGCAATGTTGAATCCCAGTGCAGTGCAGTGAATTATTTGCTGTGGCCCTTCTAGCTATATAGTCTTTGTAACTCCTACCAAATGACTTAGCTGCTATTGTTAAGTGTTGTTGAGTCAGTTCCAACTAATAACAATCCTATATAGGGTTTCAGAGGAGCAGCTGGTGGATATGAACCACTGACCTTGTGGCTAACAGTCCAGTGCTTCTCCTACAGTGCACCCTTAGGACACCAAATGACAGGGTAAGGCTATGCAAATGTGAAGTATTTGTGACCCTCCAAAGGAACTGGATAGATTTCTAATAATAAAAATAAGGTACATGCTCCCAGGTGGAGTAGGATTATGCAGATAAGGTATATGGAATCCTAGGAAGGAGACTGGCCAGTTTTGTCATCTTGCTAGGCTTAAAATGAGCCAACTTAGAGGTAGGAATGGAGAATCTCACTACCCTTCAAGAAAGAACCAGGAGTGGAGCACATCCTTTGATCCCGAAGACGCCTGCATGTTATACTTCCATGATCCAGGAGCCAGAGAGCTGTGGCACCAGAGACAGCAAGAAGTGTGACAAAAATGTGACAGAGACAAAATGGCACCAGAGGCAGTAGAACCAAGAGTACAAGACAGCTGTGGGCTTCCTGGTTCAAGCAGTAAGAAAGCTGAGTATCTTTGGGTAGGAGGTTTGCTTGTGAAGTGGGGTGCCTTTGGAGCATTTGTCTTGGGAGCTACGTTTGCCAACCCACAAAACGAAGCAAGAGAGCTTTTGGACTGAAGCTTACTGGCAGAGTAGAGTGCCTTTTGGACATTTATTGACAGAGCTAAAAGAGCTTTGTAACACTGTACAAACAAGGAAAAGGTCAGGGGGCCACATAGCTCAGTGGCTCAGGACCAAAGAGTGGCCTGCCTGTAGGGATGACTTAGAAGAGGCTGCCCTGACCTAACAACTGCATCCTGAGTGTTCCCGATCTGGAAGTGTAATCTGTTAACGTCCCTAGTAAATCCCATAATCATGAATATGGTCTGTAAGTTCTGTATGGCCAAATGCAACCAATTATTGCATCCAGCAGAGTAGAGAAGGCCTTAGGAGGGATGACTAGCTTCAAAATTGACATAGAACAGGGGTGGGTAATGTCTGGGACCATATAAGACCCTCAAAATCATTTGGTCTGGCTAACTGCAGGCAGGACTCAAAATTCAATAAATCTAGGAGCTTTTTTCATAGCAATATAAATTTGTATTAAGAGAATCATAATGATACTATAAATTTTGAGGGACAAGCAAGGAACGTCCATTAAGGGATAGCAGGACACATGAATACATGACAGGACAGACACATATGCTTCTCGTCAGCTGCCGCAGTCCGTCTGCCTGTACTGTGGTGACTCAGAGGACACTCAGTGCCAGGCAGGCTGGAAGTGTACATGTTGTTAAAGTGAAAACACACTGTGGGGAAACTACGGTGGTACCCTGATGATGAAAAGAGATGCGATGAGATGACTCCTCGTGACAATGATGACCTTGTTTCTGATGACTGACGATGATGTTGTCGAGTTCTTTGTAGACACAGAAAATAACCAGAATACAATCTTTATCCACACATACACGATCAACAATCCTCGTAAAAACTGAATCTCAGATGAAGATCAGGAAATTACAGTACACAGAAAAGACCTCAAGGGTCGATGATACAAACACTGGATATGTTCCAAATCCAAAATGCAGGATTAGTACAGCGATCAAAGCAAAATAATCACATTGCTGGCAACACACACACTGGATATTTATTAATACTTAAGTGGTATGACATCCTACAAATGTTGACTACAAAGAATGCAGAGTGTCAATCTTTCCAAAAGAAATGGACAGAAGATTTTCTGTTGTTGTTGAAGTCAAAGGCAAACCTGTGTGGTAGTTTGTGGCGATGAGTTAGCAGCAAAGAAAACAGTCAATCTGGAGCATCATTACAGTTCAATGAACTGGGAGGCCAGATGTGTCTGAGTAAAACCAATGCTCTTCAAAGGAGTCTGCGATCACAACAAGCCTCTTTCACTAGAGGCTTATTGTCTTTGATAGAGACAACGTTTTTCAGATGAGTTATGTAGTGAGGAAACTATTCACAAAAAAGCTGAGGTTCAAGAAAATAGAGAGTTTGTGAAAGAGTGCATGGTGGCTGCTGCAGAGTTGTTAGCACCAAACAAAGTAAAATTGTTTCAGAGTGTTACTTTGTCTTGGAGAACCATCTCAGATCAGATTACTGACTTAGCACAAGATATTGAAAAAAAAAAACATTGAAGGATTCTGTAGCAGATTTCCAATTTTCTCTCCGGCTTATGACAACAGACTAACAAATACTGCCCACCCAACTGGTCATTTTCAACAGTGGGATAAGTGCAGAGTTTGACACCCAAAAGGAACAGCTGTCACTGGAAACCATACATGGTACTACAAGAGGTGAGGAGAGACTTGTTTTATCAATAAAAACCTTGAGCTAACATTTGAACGATTCCTTATTGTAGATGGAGCTCCAGCCATGGTTGGCCTGCAAAAAGAATTAATTGCATTTGTCAAGAAAGAACTCAGTGGTCTCAGTTTTGATCCAAGTAATTTAATTGTATGCCACTGCATCATACACCAAGAAAGTCTCTGTGCAGAGTCATTGTGGCTCAACAACATGATGTCAACAGTAGTATCATGCATAAATTTAGTCATGGAGTCAGTTCAAGGAGTTACTGAATGCTCTTGACTCTGAGTACGGCCACCTTGTTTATCACTGTGAAGTGCAGTGGCTCAGTCACAGGAACATGATTGTGAAGTTTTACGAAGTCAAGCAGTTCATAGAGATGAAGGGAAAACCTGTCAGAGAACTCAAAGATAGCAAGTGGTTGAGTGATCTAGTGTTCAATGGTGGACATTACCAAGTACCTCTTCAGAGTTGAAGGTCAAGCTGTCAGACCTCAACCAGTTTGTAAGCTCCATGCTTTCAAACAGGAAATCATTTGAAGCTTAATTAAGGCTGTGAAAAGTACAATTCGAAAGGAAAAACATGTTGCATTTCCCCACTCTAGAGGGATCAAAGCCTTCTATGACACTTGAATATGCTGGTAAATGTACAAAACTAATTGAGGCATTTAATGAAAGATTCAAGGACGTGAAAAGTAAACAAATGGAACTGAACATCCTTGCTACACTGTTCAATGTGGAACCAGCTGATGTGCCTCATAATCTACAACACAAAATCATTCAGCTGCAAAGCAATGATGAGCTGAAAGCTAGGTACAGTAATCTCCCACTGCCTGGATTCTATAAATGTTACATAGCAATGATGAATTTTCCAGTTTGAAGAGACAAGCGTTGAAATATGCATCGTGTCCGGGCCAACTTACTGCTGCGAGCAGTCTTTTTAAAAACTTCCCATCACAAAGAGTCAACTGCACTCCAGACTGACAAAATCCTGGAAAAGCAGTTGTGAGTAAGAACATCATCAATACTGGCTAACATCATATGCCTTCACCAAAGAGAACCAGTTCTAGTCATCTTATTTGTTTTGTTAAGTGGTGTCGAGTTGGTTCCCACTCATAGGGACCCTGTATAGGGTTTCCGAAGAGCATGTGGTGAGCTTGAACCTCAGACTCTGCAGATCAAACCAATCTTGCAGTCCAGCACATTAACCTTCAACACCATCCATACTGTTGCTGTTGTTGTTAAGTGTCGTCGAGTCGGTTCCGACCCATAGGGACC